CCCCAAAACCCCAAAACCCCAAAACCCCTTCTTTCCAATTATCCAAAAATTACTTAAATAATTGTAAATTAAATAAAGCTCAGTATTATATAAGTTCCAAAGGTTATTTTCAGGATAAAACTCCATTTCTCATTCTTGCTGGTTAAGACTAGCTACACGCCTGTTAGTTGTAACCTTGGTGTAAATGTGACCTCCTTTCTTTTTGTAGAGATTGATTTCAGTTTTAAGGGTTTCAATCTCCTTAGCTTGTAGCTCCAATAGTTTCTTAAGCTTTTGCTTCTCCTCCATCATGTTCTTCTTATCTTCGTCATCTTCATCAACAAAAATGGCTTTATTGGTACTATCAAGATTTCTGTTAAGCTGGAGTTATTCCTCTCCTAATTATCTAATAAGATTTAGAAGGTTTGTGTTGTTTTTTATTGCTTGAGTTAGATCTCTCTGGGTCTTTTCCATCTCTGCTTCAGCCTCTTCGATCATTTTGATACACTTCTTTTCTGTCTTTTGGAATTTATTTTGTAATTCCAAGACTGCATTGGATGGCCCTGAGATTTCAAGATTATCTAGATCAACCAAGTTACCGAATCTAAGCATTTATCTTTCATTGTATTCCCTTTCTTTTGAAGATCTGATCTTTTCGTTTTCCTTGATTTCCTTTTTCTTTTGATTGTGATCTCTCTTATATTCCTTAAATTGCTTGTCAAGGTTTATTTACTCTTCATCTAGTTCTCTCTTTCTGTTGATAAGTTGCAGGAGTTAGGTTCTTGTGAAGAGGATTGAGTCCTTAAGATCTTTTGGTAGATAATAGCCTCTGTAATCTGGCTCATCCATTAATTACTGAATTCTTTGTTAATCATCCATACCACTATCTCCATCATGGTGTTGCTATTAGAGTTCCTGTTATTTTTGCTCGAGTTCCTTCTCTCTAATTTATCTCCACTTGTCAACCATTGCATAATCTGGCTCAAGATTTTAGAGTTGCTTTACTTTAAGAACAACTGAAACATCAAGTTGATTTAGCTTGGCCATTTTCTCCTTTTGGAAGTCTTAGATTTCCTCCTCGGTATCTTCTAACTCAGCCTTAATCTTCTTCTCTTGATTTTCGAGTTTCTTTCTTTGTTATTCGAGGTCATTGATGAACTGAAGGATCTTTTCTTTCTCGTCATAGAGGTTCATTCTATCGTCTCTAAGTTTTTCGATTTCATCTATTTTATATTCCTCTTGTGGAAGTGATACAACGTTATTCTCATCCTCCTCGTCTTCTTCATCATCTTCGTATTCTTCTTCCTCGTCTGCACCACCATCTTCATCGTCTTCATCTCCATCTCCTGCTTCTCTGTCTACTTGCTTTTGCTTTGTTCTTCTCTTTATAATCTTTTCAAAGAACTTTCTGATCTCATCATACTTATCAGAACCCTCTGGACACAATTCATGGAACTTGGTCATTAGTTCCTCCTCTCTTGACTTAATTCCATCAATTTCATTCTTCTTTTCTCTTAATTTCTTAGAAATATCATTGATTTCCTTTAATATCTGACCCTTGTCCTATCTGCATTTAGCCAATGCCTTAGTCAATTCTTGATCTCTTCCTTCCATGCTCTTCAATAAGATTAACTCCTCAAAGAAAAGAATAAGCTTCATTTCAGCATTTTTCAAATCACTCTCAAGTCTGTACTTTTCCTTTTGCATTTCTTTAATTTCCTCATCAAAACTATTGATCATACCATCTATCTCAGTATTTAATTGATCTCTTTCATAGAGACATTCAATTTTCCTAATTTATCTCATCTCCTCATCGATTTCAGAAGATTCTGGCGCTTTCTTACCTTTTCTTTCAATACCTTGATTTTTCTTCTTTTCCTCATTAGCCTTGTCTTGTAGAATCTTAGCTTCAGCTTACTTTTGAGCTTCTGTCATGACAACTTAGCCTTAAGCTCCTGTTTATTCTTCAACTGGGCCTTAATTTTGCGCTTTCTTTGAACCAAAGTTAGAAGTCTTTTTGGCTGCAGCTGCTGCTCTTTCCCTTTCAGCCTTTAATTTTTTGAAAAGTTCTATATCTTTTTCATGGATCTCAAAGAATTTTTCAGGATATTCAACGCCCTCCTCAACTGTTGGTTCAAAGAGTTAGACCTGCTCTCCTAGTTCTGAGTTTATATCTGTCAATCTACCATTTAACTTTTTAACTCTCTCAATGATTTCTTGCTTTCTAATTTTTAATTCTTATATCTTTTTGTTGAAATCTACCTTGAGTTTATGAATACTACCTTCAAGAAGTACCATTTACTGCCTCTTTTTGCTGAAGTTAACTCGTTAGTTCTCTGGAACAATATAGCTAGCAGATAACTTTAACTTATAATCCTTGTAGGTTTGCATAGCTTCTTCGATTTCTTTTCTGTCAGCTGGGTCTTCACCACTGTGCATGGCTTCTTTCTTTTCTAGTTTTTCAATCTTCTTCTTTCTAGCCTCTCTTTACAGTTTTCTTTCTTCTCTTTTTCTCTCTGCTTCAGTTTTTTTAGCTTATAGACTTGCTTGTTATTATTGCTACTTTTTGGTTTAATTCATTGAGGTCTTGGTTTATCCAGCATCTTTAGCTTTGTCATCCTTTGATTATTATTGAAGATTGCCTGAAGCATCTAAGTTATCCATATCTTGATCATCATTGTAGTCCATAGAATTGTTTCCAAGCATTTCAGACTCTAACATTTGCTTGAATGTTTCAATGTTTTATTACAAGAAATCACTCATTTTGTGAACTCTAAAAGTCGTAACATATGAAGGGGTTTTTAATGCAATGACTGTGAATTTTTCAAATTCAAGTACATCATAAAACTTTGACTTTAGTTTGTTCAGTTTAGCTTTGTAGAATTCAATGTTCCATGCTACTTCCTTTTTAGCTTCTTCTATCTTGAAATAGTTTCTCTCTTAAAGCACATTGAAGTAGATTGGGTCAATGTTAAAGTCATCATTGGTTATTTACAACCAATTCTCTGCCTAAGAATTTCTAATGCTTAACTCCTTAAAGGCTTTTCTAAGTTTCTTAATCCTTTCCTTAACTCCTTCTTTCTTTTCTTCAGCTAATTTAATTCTGTGATCTTCCTCAGTTCTAAGCTTTGCTTGCTGAATTGAATATTAGCTTGGATCTAAGATGTCTTCGTTGAGATCTTCTGCAATTTTTAGGGATTATGCAAGATAGGCATGATCTAAAGCATCTTTCTCATAGTCGATTTCAGCAAAATATGGTGGATTAGCTTCAAAAAATTCTCTCATTTTTTCCTATCTAATTTCCTCTCTTTATGTCTCTGCCATATAGTCAACACCTTCAACACCTTCTAGAGGATTGAAGCCTGCTTCTTTTTTTATGTTTTCTTTGTCGATGAGATGAATATATATTAGACCATCTTCACCAGTAGTAAGTACAAGTTTTTCTTCTTTGTCAAATTTAACACTGGTTATTCTACCTTATTATCCATCATGCATCTTAATTTGAAGTAGTCTATCAGTGTTTTGCATATACCTTATTTGGATTTCACCATTATCAAAACCAAAGATAAGGAAATTTTCAGAAGGACTTCTATCAATAAATCTGCAATAAGTCTATTTTGGAATTTCTAAGGCTTTAAGTGGTCTTTGAGATCCAAATTCACATACATACACATAGCCAGAGAATAGGCCTTAAGAGGAAACCAGGAACCTGCCAGTTCCATCGTTTAAGTAATTGCATGATAAGATTGACTCGGGCTCCCAATCCTCTTCTTGTTCTTCCTCTTCTTTTGGAAGTTCTCCTCTCAGGCGCATTCTTCTTTTCTTTTCCTCTTCTTCCTCGTCTTTTTTCTAATTTTTTTTCATTTGAAACTCCATCATCTTTAATCTCCATTTTCTAATTCTAACAGAATCAGTAAGGAATGTTTCTGTGTTATCAATGTCTTAAGCTTTTGGTCTGTCAATTTCATAGATAAATCCATTTGAGCATCCTACCAACAAATGAGCTGAGTTTGTATCCCATCTCAAATCATTTATTTTTATAGGCTCTTCTGATGGAATCAAAACCATACAAAGAGGCTCATATTTTTAAAGATTATCTTGTCCTGAGATTATGAAGAAAAATATCTCTCCATTTTCAGATGCTGAGGCAAACATTGTGTTATCTGGTGCATATTTAACCCTGACAACAGGGGTATCATGAGCCTTGAATGCTTTAAGTATTTGGAAATCACTAGAACCCATCATGAGGACTCTGACAATACCATTGCTGAAACCTGCTGCCACTACTTTCCCTTAATTTGCTTCTGCATATGGCAATTAATCTAGGCAAGTACCTTCTCCTAAGAATTTTCTTGAGTAAAATTCTCTATCTTTTATGAAATCCCATAATTTTGCTTATCCATCTTATCCTAGAGTAACTGCTGCATTTTAGGAGTGATTGAGAACCAAATCTGAAATTTTTCCTGAGTGGAAATGCTTGAGTTCTGTTACTTCCATTGATTCCATCATCATTTTCCATATTTTACCCTTTCCATCTTATATTAACCAATGATCGTTGCCCTTTATCATATTAACAATGTAAGCTGGTTCTCCACCATTCGAATCATCTCTGATGATTTTTTCCTTAATTGGTTGAATAGGTACTTCAATAGTCTCATCAGCTTCAGCATTGTCAACATCGTGAAATCTCCACCATTTGATATAGCCATCACCTCCTGCAGTGATAAAATGATCTCCATCTAGGTATACAACCTCGATCATTCCTTAATGAAGTGGCGTTTTCAGAGCTTGATCCAAGACAAGGTGAGCTTTTACAAGATTACCTTCCCAAAGAATAAGAGTACCATACTCTGATCCACTGACAATTTTTCCATCTGGTAGCTCAGCAAAGCCTGTAACATCTGAAAGCTCGAGCTGACCAAACTTACCGATTTCTCCTTGAAGTTTCAAACCAGTGAAAGTCTAGGCCATTCTCCAGAATCTAATGTGACCACTTCCACTTGTGAATAGAATATCATCAGTGAATGGAGAGAAAGAGACTCTATAGACTTCTTGTGAAAATGCCTTAGCCTTCAATATAACTCTTTGATGAAGCCAGTCCCAAACGGTTATAGTATAATCTGGGTTGCCTCCAATACTAGCTAGTTTAGTACCTGAAACTGAAAATTCAATATGAGAGTAAAGATTCTCAGTACCCTTTCTTAATATTCTATAAAGTCTCATGCTTGGGTACTCATAAATGTAGATGTTTGGAGATCTTCCCTTCTCAGCAACTGCGAAATACTTTCTAGAGGGGTGAACTGAGATGGAGCCAATACCGTCAGAGTCCTATCCATGATATATTCTCTTTTCGTGAGTGTGGATATTGTAGATTTGGTAGGTGTTACCAGTTGCGAAAATGATTACGTTATCCTCAAGATAGTGCAAGTTGAATCTCTTGTATGACTGAATACCTTGGCAACCAAAGAACCTCTTGTTTCTTCTTGAAATAGTTGAATCCTCTAGTGGTTTGTCGATGTGATTATCTGGGTAATATTCATCATCAGCCATGACGATTTCCTATTATTCTTCTTCAACAGCTGGTTCGGTTTCCAATGGCTTGTTTTCCTTGGGTGGTTCTTTCTTATCTACAAAGCAAGAGTAAAGATATGAGATAAGTGAGAGAGTGGTTACCTTTATTATCCTGGGGTTTTGAACTCATTTAATGTCAATAATCAATATATTCAAATTTAAAATTATTACACTCTCATATAAAATAAACTTAAGCCTTGCGGGGTTTTGGGGTTTTGGGGTTTTGGGGAGATCGGAAGAGCGTCGTGTAGGGAA